GGGGGCAGAGCCGTTGTGCTGTTGCCTCGTGTCTGGCCGGGGCGTCGCGATCTAGACAAACTTCTCTCGCTTCGTTCATCGCGAGTTAATGTCACGGAGCGAATAGCGCCCAAAGAAGCCGCCCAGGGTGTTCGTATGTTGATTAAGTTACTTGAACACATAAGACGCGAAAAGGGAGCGATCGCTCCTATTGCGGGCAGAACTTACACTCCGATTCATTCAGTGAAAGTATGGCAGAGCTGAGTTTTTAAAGCCTTTACTTTCATTCGTGCCTCTGCCTCCAGAAGTCAAGCCCGCTTTCAGGAGCCATGTCCTTATTGTCAATTCCTGTCGAAAATGTGGCTGCAGCGCGTATAATGTGCATTTTGTTATCTTGACAAGAAATACAGGATACATCTTTTTTTTTTTGCTTCTTCGCGTTGATAGAAAGGATAGTACATGTTATGAAATAACGTTACCATCGTTGCCTTTCTCCTAGGGGCACTATGAATGAGGAGCAGTTTGTTAATATTGACTTAAACGATGATAATGTTTGCAGCGTGTGTAAACTGGGAACAGAAAAAGAAACGCTTTCGTTTTGCCACGTCTGTTTTGAGCTTAACATTGAAGGTAAGAAGTCAGTGCTGTTTAGCTCAATACCACACTTTGTCCTAAATATTCCAATATGCCTTGCATTGAATTAGAGGAAAAAAAGGTTCTAAAAGAACATTTTAAAAAGGAACGTGATGGTGGCTTGAAGCTAGTGAGAGAAACTCTATAAAATTGTTAGTCTTTAAGGTGCCACTGGACTCCTTGTTGTTCCTAAATAGTTGTTGGTTCATAATTCCATTGGTGCATAAGTAGTTCTTATCAGCCAATTAGTAGGTGTAATGCATAATGTTAACACTATTTCTATATAATTGTATGGGCATTCTGTCTCAAGGCTTCAAAATCTTTATATTTAAAGTAGCTTTGCCATTCTAAATAGCTTCTTCCTGGGTAGGTGACTTTGTCTTTCATGTTTCAGTTTTTATTTATGTACTATAACAATCAGCTTGCCTGGGTTTTTGGATAAACAATTAAAATTCATAACACAATTTCTCTTGGTATTTTGAAAAGCATTTCCTGTAATTAGATACTATTTATTGCTACAAGTTATTTGGAAAACATGATTTGTGTTGTGAAAGCGAGTAGTCCTGTGACACCTTAGACTAACAAATATTGGTATCGTGGTAACCCCTGACGTTTCGAGATATAGGTGGTCACCTATGCTGATATGTTCTTCTCTTTTATTTTCTTTGATTCCTATCCTTTAGCTCAGCAGCAGTAGTGATTGGGGTGAATTAAGGTTTTCCACTGCTTTGTATCTTTGGTCGTCTTCAAACCTTTTTGTTGTTTGTTCACAAACTTTTTGTTGTTTGTTCACTGTGTCTATCCAAAACCTCTTTAGTTGTCTTCTGTTTTTAGGACCTTGCCCTCTAGTATGTATCGCCATATTTGTTATCCTTTCCAAGTTCATTGCTGACAATAGTATTTTGTCGATCTTCTGCATTAGAAACGTATTTCAAAAGACAATCTGTGCGTGGAAGAGATTTACAATCAATCTAACATAATAACATAATTGTTAGATTGTAAAGTGTAAGCACAACACATTTCCTGATAGATTAAAATATCAGTCTTCATAGGAATAAGTCCCAAATATTGAGGGCCGGGACAATGCCTACAGCTTCAAGAATTCACCCAAATGAATATTTTTGTGGGATTAAACAGCCTTGTTTTAAAATGTCAAGTTTTTTGCTTTCTTACTCTTCTGGGTATGAATAAATTACACACCAAAAGAAAATGCTGCAAATTAGAACTCTTCTGTTTTATTGCAGCATAAATGCTTTGTAGTATCACCTTGCTGCCAGACTCAGACAGCAAAAGTAATCCAGCTTGATAGATCTACCCATCCCAGGTATAATTGTCTAGCAGTCGTGTCCCCCAGACTATGTTTACATTAGGAGTGCTTTATTGGCCTATGAGCGCCAATATTCAAGGCTGGTGAAGTGCTGTTGGTGTTGACAAAGGTGCATTTAGTACCTGTATAATAAAACTTATGTAACACGTGCTATGCCTGGAAAAAGTGATTGCAACAAAATGCATTTATTTTTGGTAATTGTGAATAGTATTAGAGGTATTCAGATAGCTGCACAAAAGTCTTTGTTAAATATTAAGATAGGTATTTCTTAAAACTTGTTGAAAAACATATGTTAAGATATTCTTTGTTTAAAGTAAATGTGTTGTGTTTTGGTTCATATACTTATCCACCTGGAAATACTTATTGAACCATGGGGTGCCCTTATCACCATAGAATCTGAGAACTTCATAACTACAGTCTGTTGACCTCACTACATCTGTATGTATTTGGAAAGTACTCTACATATTACAGATAGGAAACTGAGTCATAAACTAAAATAAGTGACTTTTCTGAAGTTTCACTGAAAGTCTGAGGCTGAGCCAGGAGATGAATACTGGTATCCTGAGTCCCAGTCCTGTGCCCTTTTTATCTTGAAGTGATATCAAGTGACTTTCACTACCAGTTCTTTAACACTTGACTTACAGAACAGTTGACCGTTTGGCACGTAGATAGGCAGTAATGGTCTTCAGTTATTCAAGACTTGGAATAGAAACACATCAGGTAATCCACACATTTTTGTACAACAAAATGCATCAGGAATTTTCTTACTGGCTTTACATTTCTATCATGCTGTCAGTCACTTGAACAAGAAATCACTTATTACTTGTAATTGCTAATTTTCTTGCACTGAATAATTACAGGCTATGAAATGAAGTATGCCAAATGTCATGCCTGTTTAAAATTTATAGCTGCTTTTTTTTTTTTATTTGAACTGGTTGACATTAAGCACTCAAACTTGCAAATGCTTAGTTTTACTGGGGGTTTTTTCTGTTTGAGTGATAGCTGTTCAGCATGAGAAGTAAGCATTCATACAGTTTTTCAGAAACAGATCTCATAGGTTGGAAAGAGATTTGTTCTAATTTACGATCTTTAGATAAATAGTCTACATATAAACAAACTGTTCCTCCTGTAAATAAGAAGCCATTTGTATTTTAAAATTTTCAATACATGTAACCATGCTTAGCATCTTTCCAAGGTAATGAACATTTCCAGTGCCTATGGTACTGTCAGCTTCCCTGCAACACTTTCTGGAAGTGTGTGGGGTTTGGGTTTTTTTTTTCCATTTCCCTTGTAGTTCACAAGGGACCCAAGCTTTTTCTCTTAACTTGGTCTTCTTTAAGGTCAGAATTCCATTTTCTTCCCTGGGAAGTATTTGACCGACTATTTTTCTAAAACTCTACCAATTCCAGCTATCTTAAATCTCATGCCAATACGTTTTTTTTTTTTTTTAAACAATACAAAAACCAGAATAAAGATTGTAGAACTTCAAACATATGTCGATTTAAATATTGCAGAAAGTACAGAAAGCTAGGCTGACTTTTTTTTAGTTCATGTAAGCCAGGACAGGGGAACTCTTTCTCTCTTCTCCCCCCCCCCCCCAGAGTCAGGGACAGAAAGTCAGTCGGGGTCCACACAAGTGAGACTCTCAAATACCCTCACTGACATAGCCTACAACTAAAGATCAGAAAGACATGCCCCATGTTCCCCTTGCGTACCGGAGCATAGGGCTAGTACATTTTTGTGGGGCCCTCCATGGCTTTTGGGTGAGGCCAAAAATGAGGGGTTCAGTGTGTGGGATAGGGCTGCTGTGAAGCAGGTTTGGAGTGTGGGGTCTGGGTGGGAGGCAGGGTGTAGGAGCAGGCTGGAGAGGGGGAAGGGGGTTGGTGAAAGGAGAGGTGCAGGAGTGGTCTGGGTGATGAGGAGGCTACTTACCTGGCCCAACTTCCTGGGGGCACACATGGCTCTATGTCCCCTGCTGCTTCCAGGTACCACGCCTCGCTTCTATTGGCCAAGATTACAGCCAGAGTGGCAGGGGGAAAGCCTCCAGGCAGCATTTTAGTGCACGCCATTCCCCAGCTCAGGGAACAGGGAGCAGCAGCTTCTCCCCAGCTTGCCTGACTCAGGCCCCCGAGGCTCAGGGCTCCCCTCTATCTTTCTGATAGAGGCAGCAAGGGGCAGGGCAAGGGACTAGATGACTAGTGTGTTGACTATCCGATAAGCATTTACTTATCGGATAGTCGACTAGTCGTTCACATTCTAATCGGTAGGGATTTTAACCTTTGAGTGAAATATAAATGCATGTTTTTTCTAAACAGTGTTGCTCAATATTTATATTGAGTTAATACCCAAAGGAGCAATGCAGGCTCTGACCATAGAATACGTGCTATATAACGTATATGAAGGAAAGGAGAGTTTTACCACTGACTCTAAGTGGAATCAGGATTTCATCCATGGTTACTTTACTGAAATTTTGTAGGATTCCATTCTTGGCAAGAATGGGCAAAACACAGAAGATACAACCAATGCAAAAATATTGCAGTTGTAGCTTTGATTCTCCTTGTTTCTTTATTCCTACTGATATAATTTCTTTGGCGGGAGAAGGGATATAAAACATGATTATTTAAAGAAAATTTTGGATTAAATTACATCTTTAAACTCTTCTATAGTTGTGCTAAGTATTAAACTCCAGACTTTTCCACTTTAAAATCTTTCACTTTTTGTTCACCTGTCTTAAGCTTTGCTCGGTTAGTGTAGTTCAATTCACTTTTTAGTCCTTAAGCATTAATGTGCACTGTAAAGGAATCTTTGTATCTAAAACTCTTTGTGGAGAAGGAGGTGTATTTAAATTAAAAATGTTATCAGTTTGCAAAAACAGGTTTTATATTATAAGAGCCCTGCAAATCTACATATATTTGCCTTGTATGGATATTCACAACTCATTTTTGGCTGATGCAGATACAAACTTTGAATCGAGAACCCTGCATATTTGTGGTTATCTGTCGCTCTTTTTTTGGATATACATGTGGATACAGATTTTGTATCTGTGGAGGGCTCTATTGATAGTAGTCTTTTAACAATTAGTTCAAAATAGACTAATTTTTTAAACCATGTAATGTATTAGAGTTCTGCTGAACAATGTCTACAATTTTAAAAGTCAGTCCTGTTAGTGAAGATCTTAACTAGGTATTGGATGTCATCTCTTGTCTCTAACAAGAAGAAAAAACCAATAGCTCAACTACCCCCACAATAGCTTTTTCACAGCTGCAGGAAACATTAGAAGATTTGTGGATTGGAGTGAGCTTCAATGCATTTCCTATTTCTGATTTATCAGGTTTATATTGCTTAAAGTAAGCCAGGAAATCACATGATACATTTCAATGTTACAGACTCTCCCAAATAACTTTGTGCTGGTTCTTGAGTAGTGAGGAAGACTGATTAAACTGTTTTCAGTCTTACCCATTAGCCAGTCTAGACCTTTAATTTTAATGGAAACCTTTCATGATCTGAGTTGCTCCCATCCAGACACACTAGTTAGGAGACTGCTTTATTACTGAGCACTGCTATATAAGCACATGCAGAGGTCAGAGAAGTAAAGAGTTTAGACTTTCAAGTAAAGGATTCTTCCAGCATTTTTCCTCCAAGAGTTGGATATCTTTGTTTTTATCTTAAA